AAATTATTCGGAATTTTTCGGAAAATTTCCGGAAACTTTTAGAAATTTTCAAACTCTAACGATAGCTCTGGGACGGCGTCTCAAATCGTGTTCTCGTTAGTAGGAGAACCCCGCCGCCGTCAGCGAGCGCCTGGCCGAGGCCCTGGGCGCGGACGCCGCCACGGTCGCGGACCCCGCCAAGCGTGTCGAGTTCCTACGAGGCGTCTCCGCGAAGGACATGCTCAGCAAGATGATGGGCGCGGTCCAGGACTCGGTGAGTGTCTGCGCCGACGCATGCCGCGCGTTCGTCTCCGCGCCTGTGCTGACCCCCTGCCTTCCCCCAGGACCTTAACTCCATCTCGATCGCCTTCCCGTGGGCGGTGGTGGCTGAGCCCGCCGACACCCCGGACGCCTTCCTGACGGCCAACCCCAACGACCTGCTGCAGAAGGGCGAGTTCAACCGCGTGCCGCTCATGGTGGGCATGAACAACCAGGAGGGCTCCCTCGTCATTCCCAGTAAGCGAGACGAATGCGGTGCGGGGGGTTAAGTTGAAGCGAGGGAGTAAGGGAGTACCTCACTATAAGTTCAATCCTTCACTAAATTTTCTGTTCCTCATTGACTTTTCTTGATTTTTGCTGATTTTGCTGATGGTTTCAATTTGTTGGATTTTTCCAGATTTTCTAGATGTTTTATTGATTTTCCTTGATTGATTTCCACTTGTTTGTCTCTGATCATTTTGGAGGGTTTACACCTATATGCAGTGCCCCTCGGGTTGAAGGGTACGCGAATGACTGAACCACGGACTCCTTGACTGCAGTGCTGACGGACGAGGAGCTGCAGAACATGGCTGAGAACCCGGTCCGCTTCGTGCCCGACGCGATGCAGAAGAAGTTGGACGAGGGCGGCCGCGCGGAGCTGGCCAAGAAGATTGTGGACCTGTACTTCAAGGGGCAGCCCGTCGCGGAGGCCACCATCCCCCAGCTCATAGAGGTTCATTTCGGCTTTAGATTTATCGCACATTTTGACGTTGAGATATTACAAGCGGGACACACGACACACCTAAGGGAGTTTGGGGAGAAATTTCGCCAAATTAGCCAAAATTGCCAGAATAGCCTAAATCTAATATGACCACGGCTCCAAAAGTACTTGAGCCACAGTATGAAGACTTAGTTTGCATAGGATTTATGTCCTAGAGAAAACTTAATTTCCACCACACAAACCATAAATGTTGCATGAGGAGTTCAAAAGTTCACTTTACACTGGTTTTTGGAAAATAATCATACAAAAATCATTTTTATCGCAAGAGCGGTACCTTTTCGAGAGTAGTCTAATCGCCCGCAACCCACCCCTTTTACCAAAAACCAACCTATTTTCTTTTTTTTTAACCATTTTAAAAAAATGTAATCGTTTTTAAAGTACCAGTCTAATGACATGGTCGGTCATGTGGGCGCATCAGCGGTACGTGTGCCCTTAACTTCTATCCTGCGCAGCTATTCGGGGACGAGACGCTGGCGCACGGGATCAACGTCGGCACCCGCTGGCACGTCAAGCACGCCACGCCGGAAGCACCCGTGTACGTGTACCTCTTCACCATGGACGCGTTCGGCGGCGTCTCCTGGCTCCTGGGCGCCGAGAAGATCATCAAGGGAGCGGGGCACGGCGACGACCTCAGCTACGTCTTCCAACCACACCTCCTGGACGGCCTGGAGGTCCCCGATCAGGCGAAGCTCGACCAGGGTCGCGCCCGGATGACGCAGCTGATCAGCGCCTTCGTCAAGGACAAGTACGTCGTCCTCGATCGACAATAACAATCGGGCGTAGAGTGCACTCCCTGGTAACATTATTGCATCTCATGGTTTTGCAGGAGCCCGACCGCGACCAAGACAGAGGACGCTCCGGTGGACTGGCCGGCCGCGACCCCCGGCAACATCAAGTACCTCGACATCGGCGACGAACTGGTCGTCAAGGACGGACTCCCCTTCCCGGAGAGGATGGCGTTCTGGGACAAGACGAGCAAAGAAGTGCTCAAAGATCCGATCTACGACGTGTAGAGTGTAGAGTGCGCGGGACTGTGCGTCGCGCGCGCCTAGAGGGTAGGCCACCCATCTGACACAGAGGCAGACGTCAGGCCTCGCGCGAGGCGTCGAATGGGTGGCCTAGCAGTCAGGGGCCGAGTCCTCGACTGGATGAGCTCTCTCAAACCAAGAGGCAAGATGTCAACCCTGATCATTTCCTTTGGGGCGCCCGCGCCCGAATGAGAAAGCCAACGAGAGCGCCTTGTTATATTATGAGGGAAAAGAGGCCGAGGCTTAACTAAAATAATTTTACGTACATAGAAGCACAGATGGGAGGCGGTCCCAAAACTTATGAAATATAACACACTTTTTCTAATAAATTTTGTTTTTAAAAATGAAATGCCAATATTTTTGTAGTAATGACAGCAGCCTCTTCGATCCGAAAATGTTGGCCTCCTGGACACTTCTAAAACGTTTCAATGTTTCTCTACATGCTCATGCACTGCAACTTCTTGCACGTGCAGGGAAACTCGGTGGTCTACCGCTCACAGCTGCCCGCCCTCCCGGCGGCTCCGAGCGGACTCGCGCGCAACAGTTGAGTGGCGATTAAATCGCGCCATTCGGAAACCACAGTCGCTGTTACGAGTTCAGATCCGAGGCCCCTGCGGGATGAGACCAACGCACGGGCAGGCCGACACCGCACACCGCGCACTTCAAAACCGAACAAAAACAATAAAAACAGTGAACAGGCCAGTAAAGCTGAAAACGGGAGGGATAAGAAGGGTTCACTTGCGGGTAAACGTTTCACCAGGAGGTATCTGCAAAATCCGTGCGCGTATTTGAGTTTCATGTAGCGTGCAGTCGAGAGTCTACACACCCTCGTGCTCTTTTCCCCTCACTCCCTTTCCTCCCATAGCTGGGTGGAAGGAACCCATTGTGAAAAGGTGAGAGGGAAGCAGACGGAGAGACGAAGAGAGCGAGAGAGGACGGCCCGGCCGGCGAGTCGGGGCCGGGGGGGCGTTCCTGCTCGCTAGTCACTGGTCTGCATGATCGAGGATAATCATTGAGAGCCGACCAATGGGCAGCCTGCGGCCTGCGTACCACTGCCCAACGGCGAATCACCCCGCGGCCCGCACGGATCTCTCTCTCTCTCTCGCTCTCTCTCCTCTCGGCATGCGCATTGTGTTGCTAAGACATGGTGAACACCGTTTTATAAAAAAAATTGGAACCATGCAGCTGACAAATAATAATGAAAAACGTGCGATTTATTTGTATACCACGAATTTCTTTGCATGCCCCATGAGCTGCAATTTAATGCTATAGCGCCTTACAAAGGCAGCGGTTTTAGTAAAACCCTTCACATTAGAGATCATATGCAAAAAAAAAAAACAACAAAAAACAAGCAAACGGTACTACCCTTACTTACTTCCCTTCAAATTCTACAAAACGTCCTCCTTGAAAGCCGGTGTATGCCCAGCACGGCAGTCGATGATGTACTCCCTAGGGTACTCCCTCGAGTATAAAGCATTCCGGCAAAGCTGAAAAATGCAGTGAATGCAGAGAACAAAGAAAACGGAAGTCACCGTGTTAGAGCATAGCGATTTCTGTTTTCTTCCTCCCCGCATTCTTCTGCATTTCAGCTTTACCGGAATGCTTTACTCCCTCGAGTCGTATTCTCCCGCCCCTCCGCAACAAAGTACGCCCGTACGCCTGGGCTGCGCCTGGGTATCAAACTGGGCCGTACTTGTATTAATTAATGGGACCGCTCTATAACTTTGTGAAATAATTACATGGGTGGCCTCAAACAGTGGTCCGCGCGGCGGCTCGAGTGGAGAGAGGGAGGGAGAGAGGGGGAGAAGGGCGGTAAGGGGACGCACGGGGAGGGGAGCAGTTAGGCAGAGGAGGGTCGGCCCTTTACTTTTTTTCCCTTCTGT